AATAATAATAATAATAATACAAGCCACAGATAATTGTTTGGGAAACGTAAAGCAGCTAACAGGAAAGTGAAAGAGCTGATCCACATTAAGTCATATTTCCGATATATTTATATAACCAGAGAGCGACAAAAGCGGCTGAATACAAAACAACAGGAACTTAAAGGCTACTTACATAATCCTATCTATCTAAAGACAAAAGAGGGGAACTGTAATTCCCAACTTTGTTTCTTCCCAAAAGGAAAGAAAGCGCTAAAAAAGACAAAACCTCACTTAGGGGTCCTGAGTGCAGCGCCGGGCTCGCCGGAGGCCATAAGGTTGGCCCTGAGCTCGGCTTAATTGCTGTCACATGTAACCTTACCTGTCTCCCAATTAGCCCTGTGACTCGCTATTAGGAGATTCCAAGAGCTGTAGGCCAGTGACCAAGGGCACCTCAGGGTTTGGGGGCCTAATAATTAGAGTGTAATTCTATACAGCTGAGGCTTATGATGAATTTGACCAGGATTTCACCGAAAAAGGGGTTAATTAAATGCGGATCAACTTCAGGTTTAGTAGTGTATGTGATGTCCACCCCATTAATCCCTCAATAAAGACAACCCACTCTGGCATGTATGTGGCCATTCTTTGTTTTAGGACATAAAGTGTTTTTTCTTGAACAATTATCCCGCAGAAAAGTAAAGCTAAAATCAAATTACAAAATAAATTACTCTGGAGCTGCATCCAATGACAGCCAACAGGAGGAAGGAGGGACAGAGGACCCTCATGTGATGTAAAAATGCCTATAGGGTCCAGAATTTTGTTCTACACTCTTCATTAGGATTATATCTTTATTTGGGCATTTGAGATTAAATATCTCACATCCAAGCAGAAAGTTAATATTTGGTGATATTAACTGACTTATGGTGTAGTGTGTAAGTTTTCCTCGCATATCTCTGAATTAAAATATGTACTAAATAGGGAAAGAGCAACTATTTGTACAAAACACACTTTATCTGCTTTGCTAAATATTGTTTTCAAATTCAGGAACAACCAAAGATGTATTTGTGATTTTTAGTAGACACCTGGAATAAAAGTAGCCACACATTAGCTTTAGCTGAACTTTAGTAGTGTATTTTTACACAGAGAGATGGCTGTGGATTGTGTCCTCCTTCACTAACATTAGAATTGTGTCAGTAAGGGCCAGTAAGGACATGAGGAATTAGAGTGCCCAAACACTGTTTCGGTGTACATATGGGGATGTGAGATTGTTTTAAGACGGATGTGACAAAATGTGATATTATCCTTTAAGAGGTTTCGTATGAAGATGTAAATGTTTGTTTCAAAAGCCACTTTCCAACTCGAGATCATAACCTGTGCGTGCCAAGCAAACCTGGATCAAGCAGTACTTGCAAGTCTTGTTTCATCCTCCATCAAGGCTTACAGGGGAGTCAAGGCCACATAGCAACGTGAAAATGTTCCACAACAATAAGAAGAAAGTGGATGAAGAATTTCTTCTCTGACTGATTGAACTGATGCACCTTAAATTCTCGAATGACAGTAATCTTTGCCCGATTAAAAGCATCTTGAACGAATGTATAGAATAGTTGGATGCGCATTGATGGATGGCTGGACCAACTGGTGTGAGAGGCTCTGACACACGAGGGTGTCAGGGTGGGGGCAAGGGGTAGTAAACATGACCGCACCGGATGGCCTAGGAAATGCAGAGGCCACCGGTTTTCTTGTTAATTTATGGATGGCCTGACAACACCAGAGCCCACAATGCAATGCTCCGCTTCAGCCAATGCTAAATATGATCCCATTGAGGAAAGGAGTCATCAAGCGACCAGGTATGTAACCTGAGTCTGTTACTGAAATAGAAATTCAAAGCTAAGAATGACATGTTTGTTAGGGGGTCTTTCGTCTGCAGCCCGTGTCTTGCGTGACCCGTGAACAGATACTATCTGAATGCTCTTGTGCTCACAGGAGGTTAATCGCTGATGCGCTGCCCTAGAAAGGCTAGCTGATGGATGGGCAAAGAAGAAGTACATTTACAAAAAAATGTGTGTATGCTTGTGTACACCAACAAGACATCATGTGAATAAGTGAATGGCGTGTAACCTAAATTTTAGCATCTGAACACTGATGAAAAACTTCAGGGAACTTTTTTGTAAAGCACGTTGTAATTAAATTCTCATTATGCAGGAGTGAATAGCCCCACGCTTCTATACGCACACAGCACTGGTTTACACTGTGCAAATGTGCCAGGGTGTTTACTCACTGCAGAGACACAGAGCTGAGGTTTTGAAAGTCAGCGCCGTTTCCTTTGGCCGATTGAGGTTGATTAAGAGGTTAACTGCGGAGAGGCATGGCGTCTTTAAGGGAGATTTATCTGTTCCTGCTCTGACCCCTCGGGGGTAGCTTCCCTCACCCCCAGTGTCCCCAGGATTTATTTAGTTATTTGTTTATCTGTTGGAAGGGGTCACCCTTTTCTCTGCACTACATCTCAGCCCTGTTTGTGCATCTCAAACCCATTTTTCATCTCGTTTCTTGTGGGATTGTGGCACTGGTTGCATTTGCTGACTAAGCGAAGAGGACACGAGCGAAGGCCCCGCCGAGTCTCGTGACCTTTAACATTTGGCAGCGATACACTCCCAAAATTGGTTATTTTCATTTAACACGTATTTTGCTATCTGTTCAACTTTGGCCCCCATTTGGAGGAATTATGGTGTTTTCCTAATTGTTTCCTGACAGTTTTAATTCAGCTCCACTTTAATTTATGGTCTTTTATTTCCTATTTTTGCATTATTTCATTCAAGTGCTTGCGTATGTTACACAAAGGCAGTGAACCATAGCTTATAATCCTGACAGATGAAACTTTAGTTTATCATTTGACAAAGGAAAATGTATAACCTTCCCAGAGTTTTTTAAAAACATCATCAATACACATCACCATTTTATTATTGCAGCCCGGCATCTTCTGTTTATTTACTTTTGCTATTTAGATTCATCACAGTGTCAGAACATCGAAAACAATTCCGAGAAGTGAAATATATTTTTTTATTTAATTTCAGATGTTTTTTTACTGTAAGTCAATAGATTTAAAATGATTGCATTTGCAAACGCAGCTTTTTAGGTAAATATCAGTAATTCACAACCATGTTAACATATTCTACCACAATTCTACCAGATAAGACCTCATTTTGTATTTTAATCTTGCTTATATATAATTTTACAGTTACATTTCTGAAATTGGTTGGCAGACAACATTTCACAAACCACCCTCGACAACGTAAAATCCTCAAGTGATTGCTAGTACTCACTATCTCTCAAAATGTCACACACACGCTTACTCAGCCGCACATAGTCTCACACCT